TCGTTGGTCCAGGGGAAGAACATGTCAGAGACGAGGCAATCGGGGCGGTGCTGCAGCAGAGCCTCCTCCAAAGGGGCTTGAAGTAACGCGGCGGCGGCGAAGAATTTGGGGAGCAAATCAGGGGTGGGAATGGAGTCGGCATTTTCACAGTCATCTGGTAGGCCAGCTTCTGCAGAGGGGAATTTGAGGATCAGAAGCTGAATCTGAGAATGGGAATTGGGAATTGATTTGGAAATGGAGATGGAATTGAGAGGGGTGGTGACGATGGTGATCTTGACGCCGCGAGATGCGAAGAGCTTGGCCATGTCGACCATGGGGATGATGTGGCCGTGAGCCATGAATGGGAACAAGAACATGTGCAGCTGACTATCATTTTCGCTACCCATTACTGAAGAAATTGAAATTAAAGAAGAGAGAGAGTTGCAGATGAAGAAGATTGAAGTTTTGGCAAAGAGTTTATAATGGATGATTTCGAAATGGGAAGGGAAAGACGAATGGAATTCTTCGGAGTCTTAAAATAATGTTCTTTGAAGCTTCCTATTTTTTAAAGCTTTTGATCGTCCAAGTTTTAAATATGGACGTCTGTGCAAACGTAGGTGTCAATTTTGTGAAAATAAATATTTTTGTAAAAATTGAAAAGATTAAAAAATTGTAAAAAGTATTTAAATTAACAAATAAATATTTATATTTCTAAATTATTTAAGAATAATTAATATTAATATTATGTATCTATTATTGATATTTTTCTATATTTTATCGATTTTCTTATACTGTAATGGAAATGTCCATTTATCCCTCGTATCGATGTCAAACTCATAAAAACATGGATATGTCGATGGAAATGTCGACGTGTGAGGATAAATAAATATTTCCATATTATTTAAAAGAAATCGACAAAATATTAAATATATAAAAAAATATCATTAATATTGACATAATATTAATAATTTTAAATTATTTAAAACAATTGAAATATCTTTTACAATTTTTTTTATATTTTTATAAGATTTTTAGGAATATCCATAAAAATATAGGAATATCCATAAAATTGATATTTGATATTTCTATCAAGTTCGACATTTAAAAATTTGTTTGAGTCTAACAACATGTTAATAATTATTTTTTGAAAGATATTTAGCTTGGCCATTAAATATTTGACAATCTTGATGGTTTGCGAGAAGTCAAATATTTTTTTATTTTTTTAACTCAACAATATTTGAAAGGTAAAAATTCGAACCTTTGATTTTGAAATCAGTAATATATTCTTTAAATAATTAAATCCAAAATTGACGATTGAATGGAGATGATTAAAATAATGACTAAAATATAATGGTTGGTTAAAATTAGAACACTAAAAAGCAAATTGAATTGAAATGGAGGATTATCATTGGTCTCAATGAAGGACAGCAAAAGAGTTGCACATGCTCATCCTTATTGACTTTCCCTCTCTMTTTCTCTATATTTCCTCTTTTATTTTCATTCTATATCTCAATCAAACAGTTGATCCCCTTCTTTAATTCATCCATTTGTGCCCTAATCACTTTCTTTGTCTATAACATTCCATCTAATCACCTCTAAAATTATTCATCATTTCAGACTTAAAATTAGCATATCGTAGTTGATCTTATATCTACTCCAACTAACTCTTTAAACATACTAATCTGTGCTATATTATTAGAATTCAAATGAAGTAGGTTAATAATTATCCACTGGTATTAATAATAAGGATTAAAGATGACATTATTTAAAGAGTACTCAAGTAGGGAGGAGGGGAAAAAATTTATAACTGTGTCTTAAATAATACGTATTAGGCTTTATAATTGGACTTTATTAATTGAATTGAAATTAATAACATTTAAATTTACTCGTTTCTTACAAGCCACGGTTGGTTTAAGATTATTGGTTGAATTTTCATTACCCATCTTTCGCTTTTACATTAAAACCATTTTGGTGTATTTTTTAATAACAATTAGGAAACTTAAATATGCATTGGAATAATTTCTTTCATTTTATTTATGGTATGATTAACTTTTTATTGTTTATAAATCATACATCACACCAAAAATCTAAAATTGATACACTTTTGTCTTACATCCTAATTTATCGTGAAATTAACTTGTCTTTTTAATATGGGAAAAAATATCAATATTAACATGTTCGTGGTCAAAACATTAAACAAAAAATATAAGCAAGTTGTATGTGTCATTCTTTTTCATTTTTCATTTTTATTTTTTGAAGATGTATGTGTCATCCTTGGAATATAAAAAAGTTCTCGGAAAAACAAAGTTTTATACATATATAATGTGAAAAAGGACTTGAGGAGTAATTATATAGCTGTAGTCTAGGTAGGTTCGTATTTAAATCGATTCACAGCTTAATATTATTAAATATCCACATCAAGTTGACGTCTATTCTTTTTTAAATTGAATCTACATATTTGAGTTTGACATTTCATTCTTATATCATAAGCAATAAGCATTAATGATGTGTTGAAGTTTTTGGAAGTGGAGGGATTAAGTGAACAAAATGTTAATATTAAAAGGATGTAATTTTATAAAGTGAATAAAATAGGCATGGAAAATGGCTGATGAGTCAATTTTGTGGAAAGTCGAGGATGTTCATAATGTAAGCACTTGCGTCACAACTCACAACTCAAGATCCAATCCCCACCACACACAAAATGCTAGAAAATCCTTTTTTTTTTTTATATATATAATATATCTTTGAAAACTAATTTGAAAAAGTGTCTATGGTTTTAAGGTTTGAATATTCTGTTATTCAATCTCATTTATGGTGTTCCAACAACTTTTTATTTCTAGTATCTCGTTAACGCTTTTAAAGTCTGTGATTTTGAAAATGATAAAATCTGAGTATTTTGTTTTTTTTTTATTTCCACTTCAAATTATTTTATTTGTTTAAAAATAAATAAAAGAAAAAATTTTAAAAATTTAATTTTAAAAATTATTTTTCATATTAAATTATAGCTAATAAGAAACTGAAACATGTTTCTATAAATTTTAAATAATAAAAAAAGAACAAGATACATCTACTCAACACTGTTTTTCTTTATAAAAAAAATAAGTTTTTCTTTATTAAAAAAATAAGAAATGATAAACAAGAAAACAAAAAACATGATGTTCTTTACAGTTTATTTTTATCTTTTTTTTAGAATTTTATTTTCTAGTTTTTGGAATGATTTAGACGGTATTTTGCCATTACGCTTCCTTGCTGCTTATTTTCATCTCTTTTTTCTTCAGAATTTTATCTTTGACTTTTTGAATGATTTAAACAGTTTTTATGGCAAAATGTTTTAGGTAATTTCCAATTTTACGTCAAATTTAATTTTAATTTTTTTAAAATTCAGGTAATCCCCAACACGTCTATTAGTTTAGATATTTATTATTTGTGTACAGAAGAAAGAAAGAAAAAAGAAAAAATTTGCCGCGGAAGCGTAAGCCCCGTTCTGTTAATTGTGAATATCTGTGACAGTTGGCCAGTATCGTCTACGGGCAATGGACTCTAAGGCTCCACACGTGTCTCAGCCTCTCGCAATGTGCAGTGCGAAGGCCCATTGAGCTTTTATTACCGTAGACTTTACCCGTTTACGAGTCTACATCTCTGCAGAAATCGGCCCGGGGACTTTCCTGAGCCACATTATCCCGATTAGAGGTTAATCGGCCCAATCACTTCGTTCCACGGCTGGTGGTAGCTGGTTGGAGGGAACCCACTTATATAGAAAGAAATTAAGTGTCCGCTTCCGATGTGGGACTTTGGTTTGGCAAAACAAGTGATTGTTGAGAATAAAACCCAATGAAAGAAGAAGGGAAATGCAATGCAAATGGTCCCCTAAAAGAGGCAGTTTTCACAAATTTTTCTATTACGTAATCAAATGGCATCTGCCTTTTTCCTTTTTATTTGGAGGCTCGTGGTTTTTTTTTTTTTTTAAATTTTAACCCAATTTGAAAATCCTCCTTTTTCTTTTCTTTTTTGGGATTTTTGTTCCCTTAATTTTGGGTGCTTCTTGTGGGCTTAGCGGGAACTTTTAAACTTTAATCCAATTTTATCGTTGATTGCAACCATTTAGTTAATTAGGTCAATTTCGTCTTGTTGCTCCTCTATATATTTGGCATCTTACTCCTATTTGGAGGCAGGTGATATTATTACGAATTTACGTGTCTCTTAGACAAAGTATATCTAGCATAAACATGTTAGGGTATTAAAAATCTCTTCTCCTACCAATTGAATGTTCAAATTAGGGTTCATACCAATAGGTTGGTGCCTATTTTGGACTCAAATCGACCATTTAGAAAAAATTCAAATTGCATACCAAACATACGCTAAATATTGATATTTGAATTGGGAAAAATGTTATATGTTGCACAAATTTTATAAGCGGTTTCTTTTCAATTTTATTGGGACATATATATATACAATCTCTCATTCAAATTTGAGCAGATTCGAATGTGATTACTAGAGGTGCATACTAGAGTAGCCAAAATCGACCGAAATAGGGTCGGTCGGTCGATTTTGAAGATATATGGTCGGTCGGTCGGTTTGGGATTTTGAGAGATGGGCGGTTGGTCGGTTGGGCCAAAAAAATCTCTTAAAACCGACTGACCGACTGATGGAACTCAAAACCAAATTATAGAACATTAGAAAAGGAAATCTTGCACTTAAAGATTACATGCGCCAAATCAAGAATCTAATTGATTCTTTGAAGCCACAGGTAAGACTATAACTACAGAAAGACCACATACTACATATCTTATCAGGGTTAGGCTCAGAATATGAGTCTACTATATCTGTAATCACTGCAAAAATTGGATCAATAACAATTCAAGAAGTCACTTCTTTATTACTATACCATGAAAGTCGAATGGAAAAAGAATTGACAGCGACAAATGCAAAAGACTCTACTTTACCATCTGTCAATTTAGCACAACAGCAAAATACAGATTCTCATCAGAATGAAAATCACATAAATTATCATACACACCAATATGAAAGTCGAGGAAATTATGACAATAATAGAGGAAGAGGGAGAAATCAGAGAGGAGGAGGCAGACACTAGTATTCAAGGCCTAGAGTACCATGTCAGATATGCCACAAGTTTGGTCACACAGCCGATAAGTGCTATTTTCGTGTACCCACTAATTCCAATTCTGGAATAAATTACAATGGCAGACTTCATCCATCTCAATCAGTAGCATCCTTTTCACAACAAAATAATATGTCAGCAATGCTAATGCCTCAGATTTTAACAAGGATACAAACTAGTATCCTGACTCTGATGCAACCAACCACATTACAAATGAACTGAATAATCTTACTATGAAAAATGAAGTTCTGGATGGATAACAAATTCGTACTGCCAATGGGACAGGTATGTCTATCACTCACTCTGGCCATTCCTCTCTTCTCACTTCTACCAATCATACATTTCATTTACAAAATCTACTTTATGTCCCATCAGTCACTAAAAACCTACTCAGTGTTAGTCAATTTGCTAGGGAAAATCAGGTTTATCTTGAATTTCATCCTAACTTTTGTTTTGTCAAGGAACGCAACACTGGTAAATTCCTACTTCAAGGTTCTCTCCACAATCGGCTCTACTCATTCAAGCTAAAGGCATCTCCTAAAGACTCTATACTCAATTCTAATTCCAGTCATGTTTTTCACACTACTTTGAAATATCCACCCATATCTTTTCTCCCAAAGTGTAATTCTCCAATGGATGTATGGCACAAGTGATTAGGGAATCTATCTAATCTTGTTGTAAATAAAGTTCTCAATGAATGTAATCTAAATTTTGCTCTTAATAAAAAGCATTCTTTTTGTACTGCTTGTGCATTAGGCAAGAGTCATTCTTTACCATTTACACCTTCTCAAACCATGTACATTGCCCCTCTTCAATTGATTGTATCTGACCTATAAGGACCAGCCTCTAAAACATCTCAAAAACAATTTCAAATATTATATTACTTTCATAGATGTCTATTCCAAATATACTTGGATCTATTTCCTAGAAACAAAGTCTCAAGCTCTATCTGCATTTATTCAATTCAAGTCGTTCATTGAAAAACAATTAAATTTGTCTATACTCACTTTTCAATCTGATGGGGGTGGTGAGTTCAAAGCCTTCACCCCCTATCTCAAATCTCATGGAATAGAACATTGTTTCTCTTGTCCTTACACATCCCAACAGAATGGCATTGCAGAAAGAAAGCATCGCCACATAGTTGAGGTTGGTCTAACCCTATTATCTCACTCTTTTATGCCTCTGGAATTCTGAGATGATGCCTTCTCATCTGCCACTTTCCTCATTAATAGACTACCTACACCTATTCTTGAATGGGTAAGCCCTATGGAGAAACTTTTTCATCAAAAACCCAACTACACATTCCTTAAAACGTTTGGTTGTTTATGCTTCCCCTGCCTTCGACCATATAACTCTCATAAATTTCAACCCCGCTCCATCCATGCATTTTTCTTGGCTATAGTAACATTCACAACGGATATAAATGTTTATCATCCACGAGACGCTTATACATCTCTCGGAATGTTACATTTAATGAAACCTATTTTCCGTTCAAAATAAATACACCCTTTCCTATACCTCATTGTCCTAGTTCACCTACTGTCACCACGAGTCTACCTACACTTTCCACTATACCTACCATCATTTCTCATTCTTCCCCTATTTCTCAACATAATTCAAATCCTGCCTCTCCCAATAATTCAAATTCTACATCTTTATCACCTCTTCCTATCATTGACCCTATCACTGAGTCTATTAATGAAACTATTCCTGATTTAAACATTCCTCTAGAACCTATACCAACTACTCCACCCATTGACACCCCACAAATCACAACATATCCTACTCTACCTTTTAATACAGCACCTACAGACACTGGACCTATGACAATCACTTCAGTTGTCCATCTACCTCCTATACAAAATACTCATAGTATGGTTACCAGGGCAAAGAATGGCATATTCAAACATAAAGCATATCTTGCTCATTACAAAGAAATTGAGCCTATATCAGCTAAGGAAGCATTGAAGCATGATCACTGGAAAAATGCAATGGAAGAGGAATACTCGACCCTTATGAAAAATGGGACATGGGAATTGGTTACTCCCCTCCCAAATCAAAAGATAGTGGATTGTAAGTGGGTTTTTAAAATAAAACGTAATACGGATGGGTCTATATCTCGTTACAAAGCAAGACTAGTGGTAAAAGAGTTCCACCAAACGGCAGACATCGACTATTCAGAGACATTTAGCCCGGTAGTTAAGCCTATCACTATTCGGATTCTGTTCACACTAGCTCTAGCAAAATGATGGTCTCTAAGACAAATCGAAATTAACAATACGTTCCTACATGGTCTTTCTAAATGAGACAGTTCTGATGGATCAACCTATAGGTTTTATATCCTCATTCAAAACATCTTGTCTGCAAATTAAAGAAAACAATTTATGGTCTTAAGCAGGCCCCTAGAGCCTGGTTTGAGCGGCTGAGTTCCTATCTTATTACTCTTGGGTTTATTGGTTCAAAGGCTGATCCGTCTTTATTTTACAAAATATATGGTAAACACAGCTATTATATTCTGATTTACGTGGATGACATTGTTATAACAGGGAGTTCTGAGGTGGACAACAAAATCTGATCGCCATGCTCCATATAAAATTTTCCCTAAAAGATTTGGGAAAACTAAGTTACTTCTTCGGCATCGAAGTTTCTTACCCCAATAATGATAGCATTTTTCGCTCACAATTCAAATATTTCACTGATCTCCTACAAAAGGCTAACATGATGGCAGCTAATGCTATTTCTACATCTATGGTAACTGGTTCTCTCTTATCTGCTCAACAAGGGGATCCGCTTCCTTATCCTTTTCAATACAGAAGCATTGTGGGAGCGCTTCAATATGTCACACTCACCAGACCTGAGTTGTCCTCTTCAGTTAACAAAGCATGTCAATTCATGCATGTCCCTACCACTACTCACTGGCAACTTGTTAAACACATACTTAGATACCTAAAAGGGACGTTTGACAATGGTCTTCTACTTCAAAAACCCTCTAGCATGACTCTTACGGCTTATTCTGATGCCGACTGGGCATCAGATCTAGACGACAGAAAATCCACCTCTGGATTTTGTGTCTATCTTGGTGGTAATCCTATTTCGTGGGGATCAAAGAAGCAAACAATAATTTCGAGGTCAAGTATAGAAGCTGAGTACCGTGCATTAGTCTTAGCTGCGTCTGAACTAATTTGGCTGAAGACCCTATTTCACCAGCTTCGAATTGCAGTTCCTCAAATGCCAATCCTCTCGTGCGATAACCTAAGCTTTGTACATCTCGGCTCGAATCCCATCCTACACTCAAGAACGAAGCATGTGGAAATAGATATCTATTTTCTCAGAGATCTTGTTATAGCTAAGAAGATCAAAGTACAGCACCTACCTTCGATTGCTCAGATAGCTGATCTACTCACGAAACCCCTGTCACCGCTGCGATTTCACGAGCTTTCTGCCAAGCTCAATGTTCGAGCACGACTGCTTGAGGGGGGGAGGGGTGTTAAGGTAAACCAATGAAACCCTAAGATTATGGATTGTAACCAAATATAGTTAGAAAGTCCAAAAGGTAGTTAAGGTCCAATTGTCTATATAAACATTTCTCAAAGATGTATTTGGTGGTGGATTGAATTACAGTAATACAACTACTCCCACATCTCTCTCCACTCGTTTTATCGAGTATTTTGTTTTTTATTTTCATTTCACCTTGTTTTATTTGTTTTAACAAATAAAAGCAAAAATTTCCAATATTTAAATTTAAAAATTATTTTTCATATAAAATCGTAGGTAATAAGAAACTGAAACATGTTTCTATAAATTTTAAATAAAAAAAAGAACAAAATACATCTACTAAACACTTTTTTTCTTTATAAAAAAATAAGAAACAAAAAAACAAAAAACATGAAACATAAACATAAAACAAGTTCTTTACGAAGGAAAAAAAATAAAAATAAAAAAAAGAACAAAATACATCTACTAAACACTTTTTTTCTTTATAAAAAAATAAGAAACAAAAAAACATAAACATAAAACAAGTTCTTTACGAAGGAAAAAAAATAAAAAAATGCGCCGCGGAATCGTAAGCCCCGTTCTGTTAAATGTGAATATCTGTGACAATTGGCCAGTATTGTCTTCGGGCAATGGACTCTGAGGCTCCACACGTGTCTCAGCCCCTCGCAGCAATGTGCAATGCGTAGGCCCATTGGGGTTTTTGTAACCCGAAGACTTCCCCCGTTTCCGGGCCTGCCATCTCGGCAGAAATCGGCCCGGGGACTTTCCTGAGCCACATTAGCCCGATTCCTAATTAGAGGCTAATCGGCCCAATCACTGCGTTCCACGGCTGAATGTTAGTTGTCGGAGGAAGTCGATTTATATAGAAGCAAATTAACTTCGCGCTTCCGATGTGGGACTTTTTTCAGAAAATCTCTCTCAAATACATAATAAATACAATCTCTCTCAAATAACACACCACATCCTTAAAACAATCTGGTCCTTGTTTGAACATTTAGAGAGAATTTCTTATTATATTAGAGAGTGGAAAAGAAACATTTTATCCGATTATATACTTTGTTTAAGCCAAACTACATACAAAGAAAGATGGGAGCATTTTGGGGAAAAAGGTTATTGCTTAATAAAAATACAACACTCCCCTTTGTATGCTCTTATCTTGTTTGCTTTGCTCGTTAACACCATCATGAATTTATATAGGTAAATCACAAAAAGGTGTGAACTCGAATTTTCATTCATACGTATCGTATTCAAGAAAGAAATAAATAAAATTGTATATAAATTACCTATAATTTTTTAATATCGATGTTTTCTCACTGACCAACAAACATTTTAAAATATTTGGTTACCTAACGACCATGAAATTAGAAAGATATAACTAAAACGTTCTTACCCATCATGTTTATCGCTTTTACATTAAAAACACTTTCATGTGTTTTTTAATAACAATTAAACAAAAAGTTGTAAGGAACTCCCCATCACAGAAAATGGTTGAAAGTAGGGGTGTTCAAAAAACCCAACAACCTGAAGAACCAGAGCAATCCAACCCAAATCGTAAAGGTTGGGTTGGGTTAGATAAAATTTCGATTTAGGTTGAGTTATATTTTATACAAACCGAACGGTTTGATTCGATTCATGGGCTCAGACAAATAAAATTCAGTTCAACCCGAACTAAACCGAAAACTATATATATATATATATATATATATATATATATATATGTCTTTTTAGGGTTTCAGTTTTAGTTTTTCTCAGCCTCCCTCTCAAATCTCACGCTCGTTCTCAACTTTCTAATCTTCTCCCATCTCTCAAATCTCATCTCCATCTTCTCCCATTGGAAGCATCACATGCCGGCCCTCGTTCTAATCTTCTCCCATCTCTCAAATCTCATCTCCATCTTCTTCCATTGGAAGCATCCCATGCCGACCCTCGTTCACTCTCTCACATTCATCCCTCATCTTACCCTCGGCTCTGTAAGGTCTACCATCAAAGTTTTTTGAGCTCGGGCTTTCCACCTTCCTTTGTTCAAATAAGATCTGAGGTTCTGCGATTCCGTTTCTTAGCTTGCGTCTGGAACCACTTCTATCATGGATGGTCGGTACGAAACAAACTCTTTCGATGAAAAAGAGGAAGTTCAACCCTTTCCTCCAAGTTATGCTCCATCGTCATCGTGGTCCTAATCTCCACCATCGTGTTCGTCGCCGCCTACATCGTCCCTGGTGGCTTCAAGAGCAAGATTGGCTCCTCACAATCGATCTACATGGTGTTCACGGTGATGGACATTGTGCCGGTGGCCACGTCAATGAAGTCAGTGGATTTCAACTGATATTCTAGAGAAGAAGAAAGGAGGAACAAAAGGTAACTCGATGACCCAACCTGAGTCAACCTGAAAAAATTGGGTTGGGTTGGATTGGGTTGACAATTACCTTCGGTTCTTTCGGTTTGCTTATCTGACCAACCCGAAAATTCGAGTTGGTCCAAAAAAAATCTCTCATCCAACTCAATCCGATTGTGAACACCCCTAGTTGAAAGTCCTCAACTTTCTAGCACGTATTTCTTTTACAATATATATCTTTGAAAATGTCACTAATATATTTTAAGGTTTGAATAATTGGTTGGAAATAATTTACCATTCTCTTTCTATTTTTTTCTCATTTTCAAGAAAAGTTAAAATAAATAACATAATCACGTTTATTGTTTTTTTTTTTTGCGTCCTCATTTCTAATTTTTTTTTCAAAACATAAATAAGAAAAACAATAATTTATCATTCTTGACTCCTAAAATGTATAATGAGTCTTTCTCAATTTAATTCAAAATTTCTCAAGTCCTTTATTTTCAGAAAATTTTTTTTTAAAGCGATTAAATATTGTTTTGTCAATATAGATGTGTGTGATTCCCATATTGTTTGGTACATGAAAATCCAACTCATTTATTCTGTACAAATCGATAATTTAGCAAGACATAAGCTGAGACTTCATAGACTTCTCGAGGTCCAGATGGGACACATTTAATTTAATAATTTAATAATTTAATTTTTTTTTTTTAACTTATGAAAGTGAAAGAAAACAACCAGAGAAAAACTCTCTCTAAACATTTTATCCAATTATGTAAAATGTTTAGACGTTAAGCTAAATTACATAATAAATACAAAGAAAGATATAAAAACATTTGGGGAAAAAAGACCCTTGCTTAAGAAAATTGCAACAACAAACAGTGTGGGATATTGCTTGTACTCCCCTTCCTTGCTTGCTTTGCTCGCTAACGGTTTCCGAAAGATCATATTTATAAAATTAATGTCATTATAAATTATGAATAAAAAAAAGTGAGCGAGTTAAATAACCAAGTCACATCCAGCAGCATGGAGCATAATGATGAGCAAATTCAGGCCTAATAAAAGCATAAAACCCAATGAAAGAAGAAGGGGAAATGCAATGAAAATTGCAAATGGTCCCCTAAAAGAGGCAGTTTTCACAAATTTTTCTATTGTGTAATCAATGGCATCTGCCGGCTTCTGGATTTTTAAATTTTAACCCAATTTGAAAATCCTCTTTTCTTTTTTGGGTGCTTCTTGTGGGCTTAGCGGGAACTTTTGAACTTTAATCCATTTTATCTCGTTTAATTAATTAGGTCAATTTCGTTTTGTTGCTCTAGTATATATTTGGCATCTTACTTCTATTTGGAGAGAGGTGATATTATTTTAGACAAAATATATCTTAAAGCATAAACATGTTAGGTATTAAAAAAAAAATTCCTTTATCATTGAATGTTTAAATTAAGGTTCACACCAGTAGATTGGTGCCGATTTTGGACTCAATCGACCGTTTAGAAAAATTTAAATTGCATACCAAACAAACTCTAAATATCAATTAATCTGAATTTGGAAAAATGCTATATGTTGTTGCACAAATTTTATAAGCTGTTTTTTTTTTTCAATTTTATTGAGACTTTTATTTATTTATTTATTTATTTATTTATTTATTGAGAATTGCAAATTGCAAATTGCAAATTAAAATGACTAATGAAATTAATACTTCTTAAGTGGCTTTTGAAGATTTATGACTAGATTTAAATATTTTTTAAGTGTTAGTTGTTATGATTTTTTTAGCCAGGCGCATTTTGCATGGTATCCTTTACTTTGATTTTAGGGTTAGTGTATGGAAAAAATTATTTATAAAGTTGCTGTTATTGTCCTATTAAATATTGGATGTAAATTTAAATCTATATGCTCCTAGTCATCATTAAATACAGATTGAAAATATGTTTTGTCATCTTTCATATATTTAACAGTATAAAACTATCAGTCAAATAATGGTTACTTCTCCCAATAATTTTTTGTAGTATGGATATTTCTTCTGGATGCCTTCTTTCAAAGATAGAGATGAAAAATCTCAACAATATGTGGCATTTTTGTCAACAAAATTAAAATTATATATATATATATCCACCATTAAAGAAGCTTCATCCTCCCTAAGAAAAAGAAAATCTCCCATTCAGATTTCAGCAAATTCCAATGTGATCACAGACAAAGACCTTGGTGGGGAGGCCCACCAAAATGCTATGCGGATCCTATTTAAATTTATACTTATTTATGGCCTACATCATTATTATTGACAGAAAATTTAAGTTAATTTTCTTTTTATGTCAAAAAAATAATTAGTAATTAATAAGTGTGAAATGATTGGACTATGGTTATTGATCAATAATTTTCCTTTTTATTATTATTATTATTTTGTGTAAAACGCTTTTCTCATTTAATATATTTGGTGGTGAGTTTTCAATGTGTCGGTCTCTTTTTCTTTTTCATTATAAAAAGAAGGATATATATAACATTAAAATATAATTTATTAAAAATGTTATGAAACTCGTTTATTTCAATATGTAATATTCCAATATTATCATCCTTATAATATAGGCTAAAGTGTAAATTTGCTTTTTTAAAAAAAGTATGGATCGATTAAAAGAAATGGGATTTTTATTTAAAATATGGATAAGAATCTCAATCATAAAATATCAAATAAAAAAGAGATAAAATTCAAGGACCAAATCAAAAATTTAAAAAGTTATGGATGAAAGTTGAAAAAAAAAATAAAAAAT